GGAGAAAAATCCACGCAACCATGGGGAAGGGAGACACGCAAGCTCTAAATATACAGCAGTTGTCAGAGTCGGAATCGAAGCCACGACCTCCTGTACACCAGTCGAGGTCGTTAACATCTCGCCACCACGGCGCCCTTTTACTGAGACTGTATTCATGAACGCTGCCATGGCCTGATCGTCAGCGCACTGGACATCCAATCTTGTGGTCTACGATTCGATTCCATCTCTCGATGCGTAGCAGGTCGACACAACGGTGGCGAGTTTCTTAAATTCCCGCTCGGTGGCCTCTGTACACCCAACCCGGTACGAATGGGCTCACCGTGGTTCGCCGATCGGCGGATCACGACGGGGAAAAGTGCACGGCTACTCCAACCTCTTCATTCTCTTCAAAATACACCCACTGAGCGGGGAGGCCCTTCCGCCAGCAGTGGCGTGATGAGCGGGCGATTGCAGGGGCCGCGCCTCTACCTCCCTCCGAACGCGTGTTCCGAGGGATTATTGTTTTTCGCAACACGACAGCTTTGGTGCTCGTAAACACGTCCACAGTGCTCGCTCGCCCTATGCGTTTGACCATTTAGTGGGGGTTTATTTTGAAGAAGAAAAAAAAAACCTATTCCGTGTGTGTATTTATTTTCCTGCCAAATCCACACATGTTTCTGTGGATGGACCCTGTATGGGGAGTTGCATTGGTTCGTCTGGGGTTTTTTGTTGGTACTGTATTCGCTTTATTGGAAAACACAAGGCTCTGAGCGGTGGCGCAGTGGTTAGCATGCTGCGCTACGAGCCCAGCGACGCGAGTTCGATTCCCGCTCACGGCGAGTCCTGGGGTCGCTCATAGGTCTACTCAGCCTCAACTGAGTACCCGGTGCGGTGTGTAAACATCGCCACTAGGGAGACAAATGTGGCCGGACGTGGTGCTGGCCACCCGACCCCCTCGTGCGCCATGCCGGCCTTCACAGGTGCTGCTGCTCGCTAACAGCACCTGCCCCAACAGCCTGGAGGTGTATGTGACAGTGGAGCGAAGCGAGGGAAGGAAGCGGCAAGAGGTTCGTTGTGACCTGCAGTGTGGTGAGTGAGCGAGTAGTGAGTGAGCCGAGTGCCTTGGTGCAACCTGCAGTGTGGTCGTCGAACAGAGTTTTGACGAGACGCAGACATGATAATTGATCATTGTTTTTATTTTTACCCTTTTATCTGGCAAAAAAACTGACATCTTTTTTACAAGGAGTCATGTTTACATTGACCAATGGTGAGACGCAGACAGTCAGCCTGGTCGACCGAGGCCTCACCTCGTGCGAAGGATTCGATTAGCGAAGTTTCATGGGAACAGAAGCGGATGGAGGAGCGATACGTGGGCAACCGACGGCCAGTGAGGGAGTGACTGGTGTGATTTGGTGAGTGCTGGATCATCAGTCGACCTGACAGTGTCCCACTGCATTCCCACGTCGCAGCATGAGATCTAAAGAGCCCTCGACACGCGCTGCATGGTACTGTGTCCGTATCAGGGCGATGCAGTGGTGAGATGTTGTTTTCTTCGCCTGGTATGCGGGAGGTCAGGGGTTCGACCCCGACCCTTGATGCCTGCTGTATATATTTGGAATGTGCATGTCTCGCTCCCCGTGGTCGTGTGGATTTTTTTCTTCTCCGGATCCTCTGGTTTTCCCACCAGATAAAAAAAATCAACATGCATGTACACACGTTTCGATTATTTGGCTGCTATACATTTCCACGTGATAAGCCACTTCGTTGAGCTATTATTTGTGATAGCGACATCCGCTTCTGAAAGAGAAGCTTACAGCTCAGTTGGTAAAATAAATAAATAAAGATTTCTTTTTTTAATAATTTGTTTACCTTTCCTGTACTTTGCACTCCTAAATCGTGTTTTAGTCATTTGTCGTTGTAACTTTCTGAACCCTTGCCCCTCCTGGGACATCTGCGATAAACGGGCCTCGTCGCTCATCGGATTCCTCCTGCAGTCGAGGCAAAGATTCCGATTCTGATTCTGAGGATGGGCTCAGTGGCTACGGCGGGAGCGGTTCAATTGCCCGGCTCAAGTGCGCACAGCGGAAAATAAAAAAAAACCCGGAGCGTGCGAGGTGAGGCAGCAGTCACGTGGCACCTCGGGACCTGTGAGGGGTCACTGGATCATGTCCATTGCTGCACAATTTGTTTTTTTCTCTTTTATATGTAAACAAATTTTTTTTTTCGTTTTAAGTTCCTCATTGAGAAGCGTTCTCACATGTTTTTAGTGACAAAGTATTTGGGAGTTTTTTTTTTTGTCCAGCACGCTTGTTCAAACCAACTGCAGTTATGAAAGTAAAGGCCCTCGCTAACGCATGTCCCCCCACGAGTGAACACTAAACATCGCAAGATATTTATTCTAAATGAAAAGGTCTTCATGGTAATGTTGAATTCTAGATCCCCTTGCTAACATTTTACTCACAAAAGTGTCAAAATTGGGAGAGTTAATTACTCCAAGACTCAAAACCTCACTCAGAGTCGAAAACCCTGAATCCAGAATTCCTGGAAGTTCAGAGCGTGGCGAGCTACAAAGTTCTAGATTTAAAGCTTTCGTGCCTGCTAGGATCCATACTCTTTGGTTCTATTGGGTAAAGTCACGTGACTTTACCCAATAGAACCGAAGAGTAGAGCTACAAAGTTGCTTCGTGTTCACCGGTGGCGTCACTGTCGAGTGTGCAGGCGGTGCAACTGTGCCGAAGCCCAAAATGGGACGGAGGGGGACGCAGGCTGCCGGGTGACATCGAGGGGCAGGCAGGGGTTGGTTCACCAACTTGTCCCTTGTGCCAGCTCCGCTACGCCACTTGTGCCCCCCTCCCCCCCCTAGAATAAGTCGCACCTGTCCGTGCAAAACGTAAGCGTTGATATTTTTTTTTTTAAATCTTTCGCTCTGGATTCGTATTTCCATTGGCTCTAGCGCTGGAGCCTTGTTTTTTTTTTTGCTGAATCCCCAAATCCCCCCCCAGCCCGGTCAGATTTAACCGGAGCGAGAAACTCTCCCCCCAGCCCCCCACCGCGCTGCATCGCCCCCCCCCCGCTCCACACAGAGCGCCTCCTCCTCGTCTCCCGCTTCCGCTCGGCGAGTTTGGTAGAGATGGATGTTTTTTGTTTGAAACGCGGGAGGCAAGGATGTGGGCCGAGGCGGGTAGTGGTGGTGGTGGTTTGGTGGTGGGGGTGCGGTGGTAAGCGCGCCTCGCTATCAACCCCGGGGAGAGCGAGTTCGATTCCCGCTCACGGCCAACACCAGCGACAGTTATTTGAACCGGTCCTGTGCCTCCCCTGGGTCGACTCAGCCTCAAATGAGTTCCTGGTGCGGTGTGTCAACATCGCCACTGGGGGAGACAAAGGCGGCCGGGCGTGGTGCTGGCCACCCACCCCCTCGTGTGCCGTGCCAACCTTCATATGGGCTCGCTAACAGCACTTGCCCCAACAGCATGTGCAGGCTATACGGGTGATCTTTGTCTTTGGTGGACAGGGGTGGGGCGGGGGGAAGCTTGGCACGAGGTGAGAGCTGCTCTCACAGAGCAGCGCTCCGTGTCAGCTGACGCTTGTTTATCAATTTGTGCCGGGACGTTTATTTGTTTCAGCTGTCCATGCTGGTGCGTTCCGCGTCTGTCTGCGCGGGCGGGCCATGACAGGGGGTCACGTGCGTTGTGCCGTGCGTGGCGATGATGGCAGCGGAGGGCCAGGCTCGGCTGTCGGGCGTCAGAAATCTTGCACAACGCAGGGCGCGATTGAGCCAAAGTTCACATGCGCTGCAGATTTACACACTTAACACACGCACAATGACAAGGATCCCCCGGTATAGCCTTGGCGGTACTTACGTATGTGTGTTGAACTAATTAGAGGTGCGGGGGAAGGACAACAAACTAAGCACTCAAAGCAGTTTTTTTTAAGAAATTAGTTTTCAACCTACATTATTTACAAGTGTTTAGCTCGAGTGGCTTTCTAATATGGAAAGGAAGAGGAGTTCCGGACAGCAGCAGAAGCGCATCTGAAAGTGGGCGATGCAGAGACCATCTTTGTGAGGATGACCGGAGTTTGCATGATGGTTTATGCACCTTGATTAGATCAGCAAAGTATTGTGGCTCATCTATGGCGTGTAATGAGTGCGACCCTACAGACTGTCGGGACAAGTGCTGTTAGCGAGCACCTACGAAGGCTCGCACGGCACACGAGGGGGCGGGTGGCCAGCACAATTCCCGGTTGCCTTTGTCTCCCGAGTGGCGATGTTTACCCATCGCACCAATTACTCATTTGAGTCTGAGTCGACCTAGGGGAGGCCCAGGACCAGTTCATATATTCGTCACTGGTGTTGTTGGGTGCGAGTGGGAATCGTAATCGTGCCGCCAGGCTCGGAGCGCAGCGCGCTAACCACCACACTCCCGCTCCCCGCACACACAACCATGCACATGCGCACGCGAATGCACACAAAGACACGCACACATGCATACACAATGGAGACACGCTTCAAGAATGACGTCCATTGCAGAGATGGAGCGATCATTAAAATCTGCTCGTGCGCAGGTGTTAGACGGATTGCTCCATTACAGGATCGTGAGAGATCGCGATGGCTTGGGGTTGGGAGGCCTTCAGCCGGCGGTGGATTGATTATGGCCGATGATACCGATGATGCCGAGGATGGTACTGATGATGCCGAAGCCAATGCTGTTGGTGCTGATGATGGTGCTGCTCTTGACGTTGATACTGAAGATGCTGATGCCGATGATGCCAATGATGATGGTGGTGGTGATAATGACGAAGGTGGTGGCAATGATGAAGATGGTGATAATGATGAAGGTGGTGCCAATGATGAAGGTGGTGATAATGACGAAGGTGGTGCCAATGATGAAGGTGGTGATAATGATGAAGGTGGTGATAATGATGAAGGTGGTGCCAATGATGAAGGTGGTGCCAATGATGAAGGTGGTGCCAATGATGAAGGTGGTGATAATGATGGCTGCGTTGCACTGCCGTCCTAACAGAGGATGGCGCGGGGTCGTGCCTGCTGAGCACCGACTTCCACTGCGCCAACGGACAGTGCGTCGAGCCACGCATCACCTGCGACTACAAGGACGACTGCGGCGACAACTCGGACGAGGTGGACTGCGGTGAGATGCGCTCTCCCGGCCGCGTGATGCCTGCGGCCCTGCCGGCACGGAAATCATCCAATTGGTGCCACCACCGCCACCACCGCGGCCCGAGAGGATGCGATGAGTCGATCGATTATATTGCCGCAGGCGTGGCTAGGCTCCGCCTCTGCTTACATTGCCTCAGGCGCGGCTAGGCTCCGCCTCCGGCCACGCCCTCTCATAGAACCTTCTAGCCGGTTCCCGGAGTATCTCGGCCAGACCCGCCCCTTACCTTTGGCCCAGATACCTCTCCCTTTGGGATTGGATGATGTTTATAGTGGTGCCTGTACCCGCGCTTCCCTTATCCAACCAGTGGATGTCACTATGTCATTACACTTGTATTGCCCTGTCAAAGTGCCAACTTTGAAGCTTCTTGTGTTTAACTGGGTGAGAAATGTCGGACTCCCGTCTCGTATAGACCGTGTGCTTTGCTAGTCACGACCACCTTGTGCACGGCGTTCTTATTTTGTATTGATCGTCTGCCTCACTCACTGCGCTCGCCACGGGGTAACATCATCCGCGTGTAGCTTGCATTGCAGGACCGAGAGAGAGACCGCGGTGGCTTGCGGAGGCCTACATTGAGCGGTCGCTGATGATGAATTTGCATTGATTTGCATTACGCAATTTTTTATGAACTTATTCTCAGCGTCTTAAGTAACACCCCCTCTCCCGATGCATGTTCGGGTCGTAACCGCGTGGCGTTCGGCGCGACGTCCGACGTTTCGCTCCACGTGCCTCAGTTTCCCGACGAAGCCTCCTCCGGCACGTGCGAGAGGGAGCGAAAACGTCGGCGCGTCGTGCCGCACTGCTAACGTCGCGTGCCCGCGCTCGCCCCTCCGCCCCTTTCTCCCGTGGCCGTCAGTGAGCGTTGCCGGCAGCTGCGACTTCAACGAGCGTGGAGACGAGGAGCGGAACGACGTGTGGTGCGGCTGGAGGAACAGGGAGGAACATAACGACTTCACCTGGGTATTGGAGCCACGCGGCGTTTCGCACGGAACGGGCCCAACCGAAGACCACACTCCCAGTGAGACGAGAGGGGGGGCGGGTGGGGGGTGGGGTCGGGGCAGGGGGGGGGGGCGGGTGGGGGGGGGGGTCTTCGTTGTTTCTTAGAGTACCACGCGTGGACAACGTGCTCGCGGTCAAGTCGCCGCTGAAGTCACTGCACCGGCGGACGAGCGCGGTCGACCCCGCAGCCAGGACAGGTGGCCCACGGAGGGAGCGTCGAGAGTGGACGGAACGTCCCCGCGTGCGGCGTGAGGGTCGTCGGGCAGAAGGGGACTCTTCCTTTTAAGCCTCGCACAGGCAGCAGAGCTCCGCTTCGTGTCAGTGAACAGACCCGCAGGATTGACGGCAAACGGGAAGTGTTCGTATTTCGTAATTATCAGAACCACAATTTGTATTTAGCCTGGAGGAATCCAATGAGCTCCGAAGATCTTTCTGTTACAACAACAACAACAACGTTCGGTTCTTCAGTCACATCACGACCGTGCATCATCGTGAGAGTGCCTTGGTGCACGAGGGGAATGAGTCATCAGACCGCGTGTCACGACCACGTCCTGGGAACGTTCTGACTCACACCGTGAAACACAGACCAATGTCACAAATGAAGCGTGGCTTCCTTTTTTTGCGACAACAAGGATTATGAATTTTGAAAAGCTTATCACAGTAATTCGTAGACGTGGAATTCAATCCCTGCAGTCTAATTCCCTGATGTTATTCTTCGCTCACGCTATAACCTCACGTTCATTTCTGCCGCCTTGATGTGCGGTTCTTGAACTTGCGTTTTCAATACAAACAAAGCAATATTTAGTCTTTTTGAAATGTTTTTTTTGTTACAATTTAGCCATCGGCACTCACAGAGAGAGGAGTGAATCACTAGATATGTTAGAGAACAGCCCGCTGAAGGGGATATCACAGAACCGCTTCTGAGGTCCCTTCAGGTGACATTTCTGATGCTATAGAGTCATACTGAATGGCAGTAAACCCCAGTATTTTTAAATTACATTTCCAAATTACCCTCCGGCTTCCCCGAGTATAGTAACTCGCAAACGTCCTGGCTTTTAATCTGAGTAAGTTGATTGCGACGACCATTTATCCGCAGCGGCGCGAAGCGAGGAAAAGCGGCGTGGATGAGAGAGAGGGGGCTTTGAGAGGGCTCTCGGAAGCAGTTCTGTCATATCCACTTCCGGCGGGCCTGTTCTCTTCGACGCGGGGCGTAGTTCTGCGCTGCGAGAGCTCCAAGTGGGAGGCTTCTCCGCCTCGTTAGCGCAGTTGAATCAAATTGAACAGGGCGCAGGAGCCTCTGACCGAAATCCCCCAGAAGCTCAGCCGGGGTTTGAGCCTGGAGAGTGCTTGGATGATGGGTGGCCACTGTGCACAGAGCGAGTGTCGTGAGCTGGCACGGGGCCACGGGAGTAAGCGACATAGGGACAGTGCGGAAACAGTTTGTTGTGCTGTGCTGTGCTCCACGCACTCGTTGGCCCTCACCCCGGCCCTCACTGGCCGACGGGAAATGCGGTAAACATGATCCCTACGACTCGTACGGTGCGGGGAGGTCGTCATCCAGCAGTGGATTGAGCGTGGCTGCTCATCGACAATGACGATGATGATAAATGATGATTGGTAGATGATGATTGATAGATTAATTGTAAATGATCATGATGATTAATAGATTATAATTGATGATGATAATGATTGATAGATGATGATGATGCTGATGATTGATGATGACTGAAATGTGATAATAGATAGATGATGGTGATGATGATGTTTAATTGATGATGTTTGACAGATTATAGATAATGATGATTGGTGGATGATGATGATTGATGATGACGATGCTGACGATTGCGACGACCACGACGTATGGTCGGCAGACTTGAGCGGTGGCTTCCTGCGAGTGGACACGGCTGGGCGCAGCGTGGGCCAGCGCGCCGGCCTTGTGGCGCCTTCCATCTTCCCCGCATCCTTCGGCCTGTGCCGCCTACGCTTCTGGTTCTTCATGTCGGGCTCCGGGCACAAGGCCGCGCTGAGGGTGAGACCCTTGTGTGTCAAACCGCACGGCAACCGTATAGCAACCTCAGAGCAACCGCACAGCACCTACACGGCAACCGGACACTGGCAAAGTTATCACTGCTGAGCTCAAGAGTGTGCGTGACGCCGTGGTGTGACGCACGTGTGTGTGTGACGTGGTGGTGCGACGCGCACGTGTGTGTGACGTGGTGGTGCGACGTGCACGTGTGCGTGACGTGGTGCGACGCGCACGTGTGTGTGCGTGACGTGGTGCGACGCACGTGTGTGTGACGTGGTGGTGCGACGCGCACGTGTGTGCGTGACGTGGTGCGACGTGCGTGTGTGCGACGCGCAGGTTTACAGCCAGGGCGAGAGCGGCGCGCCCATCCTCATGTTCGTGGCGCGGGGGGACATGGGCACGCAGTGGAAGTACGCCAACATCGAGGTGTCGCACTCGGTGCCCTTCCGCGTCGTCTTCGAGGCGGAGGCGGGCAGCGAGCAGCCGGGCTCCATCGCCCTCGACGACGTCTCCTTCACGCCGTCGTGCAACCTCACGGGTGCGCCGTGAAACCACCGCCGCCGGCGGGGCCCGTGTTTACAACCCCCGTATAATTCGGCATGAGAGGCTTGGTGAACGAGTCCATTGTGCTAACCACGGCACCGAGGCAGCGGTCCCGCGCATCGCACTACGTTACGAAGAAAGTTTCTGCTGGCCGGCTGGCTGGCTTCAGGGAAGGACGGACAGATGGTCACGTCCAAAGGACGTGAGCATTGCTAGTAAATACAAAAACAAGTCGGGGTGAATTCCTGCTCAAATGGGTATTGAAGCGGTGCTAATCTGCTGTTTACAGCCCTGAACCAGTTGTGGAAATTCCTCATCCCTATGGCACAAAGTCACGTTCATTTTTATCGAGTTGAGTCGACCCCCCAACGAGAGTTTGAAATGGCAACCTTGCAATTGCGAGCCACTCACTCTGCTGCTGCTGAGCCAACATACAGAACGTCATGATTAGTATGATCATCACGCTTGTTTGCCCTGCAGGAAAACCTCACAGAGTCTCATGACTCTTCTTCAGGAGGGTCCTGCCAAGTTTTCGCAGTGTGGCGGGAGGGGGGGGGGGCTAGTAGTGGGAGGGGGAGGAGGGGGTTGCTGCTTGCTATGTAGATCCCAATTGAGTCATTTGCGGGTAGAATTTTTCTCATCTGAAAACATTAAATTCACATTGGTTTGAAGGTGCAGGAAGGTTTAGAGCACGCGGGGGAAACCGGAATCGGTTCCATTGCTTACGCGCGCTGCTACCAAACTCCAGCCAGTGCCCTGCTCCCTCCACGTTCTCATCATTCTCGCTTCCCCACTGACGCCCGCGATAAATCTGTGCGAGACCCACCCCTGGCTGCCGCCGAGTCTGCCGCAAACTCATGATCACCTTCGGAAAGTTTTTTGTTCGTCTTCATGGCGACATGTGGGAGCAGGTTTCCCTCTCTCTACGCCGGTCCGGTTTGTGCGATTTCGTGCTGTGTACGCGGCTAACCCCCTCGTGTGCCACGTGCCGGCCTTCATAGGTGCTCGCTAACACCGCTTGCCCCAACAGTCTGTTCAGGCTATATGGGGGATCGTTCTCTTTGTCCTATTCCCACCCACGGCTAACAGTGACGAATATCTGAACCCGTCTTGGGCTTCACCTAGGTCGACTCAGCCTAAAATGAGTACCTTGTCTACTGTAAGGCGGCCGGGTGTGGTGCTAGCCGAACGTGCACCGTGCCGATCTGAAAAGGTGCGCGCAAACAGCAACCACCTGTGTAGGCTACACGGGGAAATCTGGATTTGTGTGCGCATGTGTGTGGGGAGCGGTGGCATAGTGGTTAGCGCCCTGCGCTAGTGAGTTCAATGCCCACTCATGGCCAACTGGGGAAGACAAAGGCGGCCGGGCATGGCACGCGAGCTGTACCGGACCTCATCGTCGCTCGCTCACGCCACTTGCCCCCAACTGTCCTGGTACAGCCATACGGCGGATCCTCGTCGCTGTTCATCGACGTGCATTATCCCACTTGCGCCCTCACGTGCAGGCGCGATGTGCCCCGAGAACTGGTACTGGTGCGGCGAGCACCAGCGCATGTGCCTGCCCTCGGAGCTGGTGTGCGACGGCCGGGAGGACTGCCCCGGGGGCAGCGACGAGGAGCACTGCCCCACGCCAAGCCTGGACACGGGTTGCCCCCCCTCGACGTTCCTGTGCGGGAACGGCTCCTGCACCCCCGCGGCCCCCCTTTGTTACGACCCGGCCGACTGCCTCGTCGGCCAAGGGGGCGCGTCGGACTGCTGTGAGTGCCGTTGTCGTCGTGGTGGTTGGATGTCGACTCTGAGGCCCAGTGCTCATGTCGGGGCGCCACAGTGGTTGAGATGTTAAATACCTCGCCTGGTATAGAGGAGGTCGTGAGTTCAGTCCTGACCCTAACACCTGTATATTTGGAGTTTGCGGTGTCTCTCTCTCTCTCTCTCCCCTTGGTCGCGTGGATTTTTCTCCGGGTCCTCCGTTTTTTTCCTCCACATTTATAAACGTGCGTTTAGAGTATTTGGCTGCTGTAATTGTCCACGTGGTGATTCGTCATTTCGTTGAGCTATCATTTGTGGCCAGGTCACTTCTGAAAAATAACTATATAGCTCAGTAGGCCTTTCCTGGTGAAATAATTAAAAATTATATACTTTTTTTAATTTGTGTGTGCGTGTAATGCCATAACTGCTATATAGTTTAGTTTTATTTGTGTATATGTTTTAAGTGATTTGTTTACCTTTCCCATACCACTCCTATCATCTTTTTGTATTGCTGTTGTAACGTTCTTACCCGCCTTTACTGGACATCTGTGAAAAGAGCTTCATAGGTTATCGGATTCCTCCAGTATTACATAAATAATCTGATTCTGTGATCATCAAATATATCCGTCCGCATAATTTTCCACCACTATCATCATTCATTCATCATCATCCGCGTATCACGATCATCATCCAATCTTTCTTTTTCTTTACTTCTAAAGCACAATTCCCAACATAGATGAAGCGTTGTGAAACATTACGGGGATTTCCGAACACCCACGACACCCACCCCGGTCGCTCCGCCACCCGCCGCTGTGTTTCCAGGCCCATTGTGTGCTCGCTGTTTACATCCTCGTAAAAAAATACAAACTACAGTGCCCATACGAAGCAGCCACACGTGGAGTGGCAGTCTGCTGTGACTGAACAAAGACAAAGATCTCCCGTGTAGCCTTTAAGAGATTGCTGCAGCAATTGTTGTTAGCGAGCACCTATTAAGGCTCCCACCGATCTCTCACCAATCTCCCACCAGTCTCCACCAACCTCTCACCAATCTCCCCCCAGTCTCCACCAATCTCTCACCGGTCTCCACCAATCTCTCACCGGTCTCCCACCAGTCCCCCACCGATCTCTCACCGGTCTCCCACCGATCTCCACCAATCTCTTACCCACATCTCACCGGTCTACCACCGTTCTCTTACCAATCTCCCACCAGTCTCCACCAATCTCTCACCGGTCTCCACCAATCTCTCACCGGTTCTCAGCAATCTCTCACCAGTCCCCACCAATCTCTCACCGGTCTCCACCAATCTCTCACCGGTCTCCCACCAGTCCCCCACCGATCTCTCACCGGTCTCCCACCGTTCTCTTACCAATCTCCCACCAGTCTTTCACCGATCTCTCACCAGTCTCCCACCGGCACTCCCACCGGTCTCTTACCAGTCTGTATGTATGTATGTGTGTATGTTGAACTTCTTTCGCACCATACATAGCCAACCGTGATAATTGGAGATGTTGGGAGAAGGACAACAAACTAAACACAAAAACACGGTCTCCCATCGGTCTCTGCGGCCGCCTCCATCTCCGTTGTCATGTCGGAGAGTTATGCTTGGCACACACGTGTTGCGTGTTCCTCATGGCACACACACACACACACACAGGACATGTTGTGCATGCCGCTGTGCGTTCTGTACGGTCCGCCTGCTCCTGCTCTAACCCGAACCGCGTGCTGTGATGACCGCCAGGGTGTTGGGACGTGGACTGCAGGAACGAGGGAGTCTGCGTTTTGAACGGAACAACTGGCATATGCCGGTGCGTAAATCTACCAGCAGTGCGCCGTGGAGGACACGTTTATCAAAATTAATGCCCATCCCATGTACCGCATTCTACAAATTAGAGACGCACTGAAACTCGTGCTCGGTTATCAATAAGGTAGTTGAAATCTGGGCGCACATGCACACACATGCGCACGCACCCAACGGAATGTAAGACGCACCCCTAACCTCATGCTTTAAAACACAGGGTCTAAAGCGCGTCATTATCCGGAGAATATGGTATACATTTTTTTTTTTAAAGAGAACGACTACAATATTCAAGGTCGTTTTTCCCCCGCGCGTTTTTTGTCTCCCGCTCCTCCCACGTCAGTTGCGCGCACGGATGGCAAGGAGAGCACTGCCTGCTTCCCACGCCGGACGCAGCGCACCCCTCTGCCAGACCTTCCCGTCAGAACCCCGCGTACTCCATCGAAGGTCGGCAGAGCGGGCGGACGGTGGCGGTAGCCGAGACTGCGTGTGACGCTCGGCGGCCATGGCCACCAACGGGCTCTGCGTCCTGCGTCGCTGCCGGGCGACGCTCCACCTTCCCGTTTGTTCTACGGGGGGGGGGGGGGGGGGGGGGTGGGGGCATTTGCTTATTCGGGGGTGGGAGGGGATCGATAATGGGGGATCCTTTGAGAGATACGCCAGAGATGACTCTTATGCCGGTGAGCGCGCCTCGCTGCGCACCTGGCGACCCGAGTTCGATTTCCGCTCACGGCCGCCAACACCAGTGGCAATAATCTGAACCCGTCCTGGGCCTCCCCTAGGTCGACTCAGCCTGAAATGAGTACCTGGCGCGGTGCGTAAACATCGCCACTGCGGAGACAAAGGTGGCCGGGCGTGGTGCCGGCCACCCACCCCCTCGTGTGCCATGCCGGCCTTCGTAGGTGCTCACTGACAGCACTCGCCCCAAAAGGTCAGCTGAGTCTACACAGGGGATCTTTGTGTCGTGTCGTTGGTGCAGTGTGGGCCGCCGTGGTGATCGCCGCGGCTCTGCTGCTGCCCCTCGTGCTCCTCGCCGCCTTCATCCAGCAGCGGCGTCGCCTGCAGGCACTGTGAGGCCACCCGCACTCCGCTCCTCCCTCGTTAGAGATGATCAGTTCATGAGCAGGGATTCGTCTCAGCCGGATCCGGCCAGATGGGCGGCCTGAAAATAAAAACGATTTTGCCCCTGCCGCCCCCCGGCCACACCACATCCAGTCTAACTATCACTACGGCTGTGACGACTAGCCACACGCCTCCTACTCCAGTTTACAAGAGACCTGGGAACTGTTCAGTGAGAAATGAGTGCCTGTGAATCGAAATCAGAATCTGTGTTTATACTGGAAGAAAACCCGATGAGCTCCGAAGCTCTTTTTCACAGATGTTACAACAACAAACTGTACAAAAACACGACGTGAGTGCAAAGTATAGGAGAGGTAAACAAATAACTTAAAAACATATTGACAAATAAAACTCAGATATTTTTACACGCTTCCTTTTAACTCACTTTGTTGTTGTATCCTCAAATCTTGTAACTCAATTTTAACCCACTTCCCAATGTGGTATCGACTGCAAACTTGCTATGCTTATGTCACACTGATGACAATACTATATTCTATCATAAAATATATAAACATTTTTAAACATTATTTTTTTATATGTTATATTTCGGCTTGGGTCTAATTGTCCACGCTCAACTGACGTTGGCTGTAATTGGTCACGGCCCCCTTACGTTATGGCAAGCTTTGGGGCCACTTCCTGGAGTCGTGGAGTTCTTCCATTACTACTAGTACATTTCATGAAAGACTATATATGTTTTACATGGTGGGTAATGTAGCAAGCAGCCTCTAGTGGCGACAGGGGTCATGTGAACCCCATTACGTACAACAATACACTTGTGATTTGATGCATGTATCGTGTGATAAAAGACTCGATATTAACGATAGCTCAGTGACTCATGTTGACCCTTAATTCGGTAGCACGTGGCTCACTCCGTATGGCCCCGCTACGGCATGCGGCTGATGCTATATTCAAGGGTCTTCTGTATGATAATTATGATATTACGTTCTTGGAAAGTGCCGCGAAATCCAAAATCGCTGTATTAAATACTTAAGCTTTACCTAAATAAGGGGGTTACGTATTCAGCAACCATAAATAAACACATAACAGTTGAAATAAGTACTGTAATGTATGCCAAATAAACTAAGCAATTGAAATAAACATGTAAAAACCCCATCCAAAAAAACATTCCTAGACGATAAATAGTGTAAATATTAGAGAGATGGGCAAAACACATCAGCCTTACAAATCACTGGGACAATTCCAATGCAGATACAAAGTGCCAATTACTTTTAGGTGTGCAATTACGATCAGTCACAAACGTAATGGGATTACATCTTTAAATGATACGTAATTGAGATACCGTGTGCATATGTGGGTACGTGTGCACATGTACGCTGCTTGTGTGCGCGTGTGCACGTGTGCACGTGGGTGTGTGTGTGCGTGTGTGTGTGCGGACAGATCTGAACTCGACGATGATTCCTTCCCGATCATAAAAACAGACGCTTGGCCAAAGTCAGACCTCACCAAACTCGTAAGCAACACTCTACTGCACTTCACCACGCGTTGCATTCGCAGTGTCAGTTGTTTCTTCTGCTATTTTTTTTTATCTATTCAAGTTTTCTTTAAAATCATATGCAGCGTGCTTCACATTTTGTTCTCCACCGAGTCACCTCGCCGCTGTCAGTACGTGGATTCCCAAGTGGCACATTCGAGGATTATAAAACGTGGGGGTGGGGCAGGGAGGGGTAGGGCCCACTGTGAGGATCGATCGGTCGGGAGGGTGAGCGGCTACCCAACAATGTCGGGGGGTGGGACTGGCGGGGGGGGGGGGGGGACTTATGGGGGCTGAGACCCCCCCCCCCAACCACCCTCCGCTGAAGGCTCAGCCCTCCCCTTAATCCCCCTTCTCGTCAAAAACTAAAAAACTGTCAGCACTGCATTAACAGGGAGGGTAGGGGTCGGAGCCGCCCAGCATGATGGACGAGAAAGCGCTCCGCGTCGACTCTCGCTTTGTCTCGCTGCCGACGTTTTGTCGTAAAGCTTCTCTAACGTTGACAGCGCCGTGCCCTCGGCGGGTCTGTGAGTGCCCCCCCACCCCCCACCCCCCACCCCCCACCCCCTCCCCCAGTCCAGCATAGGTCCTCACCACAGCGGGGCAGGGCAGCGGCTCTCCCCGAGGTGCCCGTTCGACGCTTCGCAGACTTTCAATTCTAACGTCATGACGGTGCGGTTTGTTTGTTTGTTCCGGCAGGCCCGGTCACGGCGGCACGGCACGCAGCCCTCGTCCTTCTGCAACCCGCTCTATCGCCGCCACTCGGACCCGACAGTGGGCACGGCCCCCGTGGGCCTGCCCGCGACGTCCCGTGGGCGGCCCGACCGCTATGCGCAGCTTTGCACGCTGCGCCAGGTCGGGTGGCCTCACGGGGAGTCCCACCTCTAGCTGGGGAGAAGACCGGTTGCCACCTTGTCCGAGTTTTCCCATGGTCGTCCTCTTTTAATTTGTTTTTTTTTTTTGTTCAGGTAGCTGCTGTCCTGGGAAATGTGGAAGTCTTCCCGGGACAGTATTTTTTTTTTGTTTGAGCCATTTGTGAAATAATGAACCACTCATTTCACTGAGTCCTCTCCCGCTTCTGGGTGTTGTGAGATATTCTCCTTCTCCATGCTGTATCCTGGTACTCTTGGCAGCCCCGAGGTGGCAACCCCTCGTCTCAGCGTGGCGTCTTGCTGGCGCCATCGGTGCTCCCCTCGTCTTCTCCTCACCCTAGGAGTCAGGTTAAGGGGTTTATGTGCCTGGTTAGGCGCTCTGGTTAAGGGGTCTGGTTAAGGGGTCTGATTAAGCGGTCAGGTTAAACGGTCAGGTTCGGGGTCAGGTTAATGGGTCGGGCACGCCTTCGCGAGACCACGCACGCAGATGTTGGGTTGAAGGGGACCATCGCTGGTGTAGATGTGAGCGAGGCCCACTGGAGTTGAGATGTGAGCGAGGCCCACTGGAGTTGAGATGTGAGCGAGGGCCATCGGAGTTGAGATGTGAGCGAGGCCCACTGGAGTTGAGATGTGAGCGAGGCCACTGGAGCTGAGATGTGAGCGAGGCCCACTGGAGCTGAGATGTGAGCGAGACCACTGAAGTTGAGATGTGAGCGAGACCACTGGAGTTGAGATGTGAGCGAGGCCCACTGGAGTTGAGATGTGAGCGAGACCACTGGAGCTGAGATGTGAGCGAGGCCCACTGGAGCTGAGATGTGAGCGAGACCACTGGAGCTGAGATGTGAGCGAGACCACTGGAGTTGAGATGTGAGCGAGGCCCACTGGAGTTGAGATGTGAGCGAGGCCACTGGAGTTGAGATTTGAGCGAGGCCCACTGGAGTTGAGATGTGAGCGAGGCCCACTGGAGCTGAGATGTGAGCGAGGCCCACTGGAGTTGAGATGTGAGCGAGGCCACTGGAGTTGAGATGTGAGGGAGGCCCACTGGAGTTGAGATTTGAGCGAGGCCCACTGGAGTTGAGATGTGAGCGAGGCCCACTGGAGTTGAGATGTGAGCGAGGCCACTGGAGTTGAGATGTGAGCGAGGCCACTGGAGTTGAGATGTGAGCAAGGCCCACTGGAGTTGAGATGTGAGCGAGGCCCACTGGAGTTGAGATGTGAGCGAGGCCCACTGGAGTTGAGATGTGAGCGAGGGCCATCGGAGTTGAGATGTGAGCGAGGCCCACTGGAGTTGAGATGTGAGCGAGGCCACTGGAGCTGAGATGTGAGGGAGGCCCACTGGAGTTGAGATGTGACCGAGACCACTGGAGTTGAGATGTGAGCGAGGCCCACTGGAGCTGAGATGTGAGCGAGGCCCACTGGAGTTGAGATTTGAGCGAGGCCACTGGAGTTGAGATGTGAGGGAGGCCCACTGGAGTTGAGATGTGAGCGAGGCCCACTGGAGTTGAGATTTGAGCGAGGCCCACTGGAGTTTAGATGTGAGCGAGGCCCACTGGAGCTGAGATGTGAGCAAGGCCCACTGGAGCTGAGATGTGAGGGAGGCCACTGGAGTTGAGATGTGAGCAAGGCCCACTGGAGTTGAGATGTGAGCGAGGCCACTGGAGTTGAGATGTGAGCGAGGCCCACTGGAGTTGAGATGTGAGCGAGGCCCACTGGAGTTGAGATGTGAGCGAGGGCCATCGGAGTTGAGATGTGAGCGAGGCCCACTGGAGTTGAGATGTGAGCAAGGCCCACTGGAGTTGAGATGTGAGGGAGGCCCACTGGAGTTGAGATTTGAGCGAGGCCCACTGGAGTTGAGATGTGAGCGAGGCCCACTGGAGTTGAGATGTGAGGGAGGCCCACTGGAGTTGAGATGTGAGCGAGGCCCACTGGAGTTGAGATGTGAGCGAGGCCACTGGAGTTGAGATGTGAGCGAGGCCACTGGAGTTGAGATGTGAGCAAGGCCCACTGGAGTTGAGATGTGAGCGAGGCCCACTGGAGTTGAGATGTGAGCGAGGCCCACTGGAGTTGAGATGTGAGCGAGGGCCATCGGAGTTGAGATGTGAGCGAGGCCCACTGGAGTTGAGATGTGAGCGAGGCCACTGGAGCTGAGATGTGAGGGAGGCCCACTGGAGTTGAGATGTGACCGAGACCACTGGAGTTGAGATGTGAGCGAGGCCCACTGGAGCTGAGATGTGAGCGAGGCCCACTGGAGTTGAGATTTGAGCGAGGCCACTGGAGTTGAGATGTGAGGGAGGCCCACTGGAGTTGAGATGTGAGCGAGGCCCACTGGAGTTGAGATTTGAGCGAGGCCCACTGGAGTTTAGATGTGAGCGAGGCCCACTGGAGCTGAGATGTGAGCAAGGCCCACTGGAGTTGAGATGTGAGCGAGGCCACTGGAGTTGAGATGTGAGCGAGGCCCACTGGAGTTGAGATGTGAGCGAGGCCCACTGGAGTTGAGATGTGAGCGAGGCCCACTGGAGTTGAGATGTGAGCGAGGGCCATCGGAGTTGAGATGTGAGCGAGGCCCACTGGAGTTGAGATGTGAGCAAGGCCCACTGGAGTTGAGATGTGAGGGAGGCCCACTGGAGTTGAGATTTGAGCGAGGCCCACTGGAGTTGAGATGTGAGCGAGGCCCACTGGAGTTGAGATGTGAGCGGGGCCCACTGGAGCTGAGATGTGAGCAAGGCCCACTGGAGCTGAGATGTGAGGGAGGCCCACTGGAGTTGAGATTTGAGCGAGGCCCACTGGAGTTGAGATGTGAGTGAGGCCCACTGGAGTTGAGATGTGAGTGAGGCCCACTGGAGTTGAGATGTGAGCGAGGCCCACTGGAGTTGAGATGTGAGCGAGGCCCACTGGAGTTGAGATGTGAGCAAGGCCCACTGGAGTTGAGATGTGAGGGAGGCCCACTGGAGTTGAGATTTGAGCGAGGCCCACTGGAGTTGAGATGTGAGTGAGGCCCACTGGAGTTGAGATGTGAGTGAGGCCCACTGGAGTTGAGATGTGAGCGAGGCCCACTGGAGTTGAGATGTGAGCGAGGCCCACTGGAGTTGAGATGTGAGCAAGGCCCACTGGAGTTGAGATGTGAGGGAGGCCCACTGGAGTTGAGATGTGAGGGAGGCCACTGGAGTTGAGATGTGAGCGAGGCCACTGGAGTTGAGATGTGAGGGAGGCCCACTGGAGTTGAGATGTGAGCGAGACCACTGGAGTTGAGATGTGAGCGAGGCCCACTGGAGTTGAGATGTAAGCGAGGCCACTGGAGTTGAGATGTGAGGGAGGCCCACTGGAGTTGAGATGTGAGCGAGGCCCATCAGAGATGAGTGGAACTGTTTTGAAAAAAGTGTTTATATTCAGTGATTTTGTTTTTATTTCATAAAAAGAAACAGCTTCATGATCGAATTAAGTCATGAAAATTTTTTGTGTTTTTTAACTCATGCACGACATCAATGTTCCCCGACCAACGGAAATATGTACAAATGAATAATATGAGGGTCGAAGACCCAGTACATGTGTGTATAGTATGTGTCGTTTATTTCTGATTTACTTAGTTCAAAAATTGGCACAACAGGCAATGACGTTAAATAAACTTAGTTCTGTAGCTGTTCTTTCTCTCTCTTTTTTTTGTATCTGGATCTGTGCACGAGCACTGGAAGTAATAATTCGGAATGCAGAGCCTCCGCCTCTTAATGCGAAACAGAAGGGCAGCGAGCGATTGCTGCACCCAGCGTGGTCTCCTTTGCATTTTACAATCCGGACAGAGATCAGCTGCGAACCTCAAGAGTCACGCGTCCCATCGAGTCGTGCGAACCAGCAATGGCTTGGGTGTTTCAAGTTGATTTTGTTGAACCAGGCATGAACTCGGGACGGCAGGAAGAGTCTCGTTTGTAAGGCTGACTCCAGGGGTATCAGTCTGCTGTCAGGAGAGTGCGATGATTGCTGTGTAATCCCAATCGAGTAATTTGCGGTGCAATTTTGGAATTAGGAAAATGTGGACCCTGGCGCCGGCACAGACGGTAATGACGTCATGGGGTCTTCAAAGTCCACCGTGAAGCCGACGTCGGCGCACAGTATTGCCCCGGTTATTACACACTACCGGACTAACCGGGGCCGCCGCTGGGTTCGGACCACGGACCTCTGCAGCAGTCGGCGAACGCGCCACCAGCCGAGGGCCTCAATTCAAAAACGTACCACAGCATACCCCCCCCCCCCCCGTACTACGGGGGGGCAAGGGCTCCCCCTGTCTTTTAGACTCCGACGCGCCTGGTTCAAGTCCATATAAATATAAATTACAGCGAAACTCCCGTTATCCGTATACTGATAATATTACCCGTGCCCTCGAAACGATTGGCTCGATATACTGAAACCGCGGTGGCAGGAGGTTGTGGGTTCGAATCCGACCCTGACGCCTGGTGTATATTTGTAGTTTGCATGTCTCTCTCTCACCGTGGTCGCGTGGATTTTTCACCGGGCCCTTCGGTTTTCCCCTCCACATTTAGACTCAACGTGCGTCCACGTGACAAGCCACTTCCTTGAGCTGTCATTTGTGGCCAGCTCGCTTCTGGAAAAGAGCTACATAGCTCACTTGGCCTTACCTGGTAAAAGAAAACTTGTTTAGTTTCTAAGATAATAATTGTTTAGTTTGCGATTACTGTTATGTTCCGAGCGACTGCACGGTGAAGAGGAGTGATCCTCTTATCCGCGTTCATCCGCACTTCACCGCTCGGATGACCTCGCAAAGCAGGGAAGGTCCCGTCGTGCCGCCTCATGGCAGCCCGGGTTGAAGAGATCATTTCCATTGTACGGAACAATCTGCAGCAGCTCCTCCGTCCCTTATAACGCCACTGGGAGTCCACATCCAGTCACGGGCGCGTTCCATCGTTGACGAGGGTGAAACGGAGAGTGGTTGGGTGTCCCCCCCAGCAGACGCGAGCAAGCTTTTCCCAGAAGTCCGTCGTCCCGACTCGGGTTCCCCACACGTAAGGTCATCTGGAACACAGAGTGCATGTCCATATCAGATGGCGTCAAACAAATTGAATGTTGCTTCATTGCGTAGAACATACGTGACAACATGCGTAAGCAGGAAATACGTCTCGTTCATATATCTGCCTCCTAATAAGAGTGTTTCTAACAAAATACATCAGCTCCACGGCTTCTTCTGGGAGTCCGTGATTCCGGCAGCATTGATTCAAGTCCATATTTTTTTGTCGTTTTTGCTTGGACCGGATCAGTGCTGCTGAAAGTCACGCACTTCCAGAAGGCCGTGGGGGCCGATGGTTTGTGTTTGGGGGGGGGGGGGGGGGGGAACTCCTTTATCTTTTTTTTACGCGGAGGGACAGATACATGAAGGGAGGCGGCGGATCGCCTGCTTGGTTATTACAAGTTGGGCCTATACTCGGGGCTGTTTTGACACGTTTGTGACTCGTCAAATATCGGCGCGTGTGGTTTGACGCCGGGGATGCCGTGACTCGCAAGCGCAACAACACGTTCCCCCTGTCGTACGTATGTCGTTAGATTCAAAGGGCATGAAGGTGGGGGAAACTCGCGTCCCGACAGGAAGAGAGAGAGAGAGAGGAAATTATCCACGATTAGCATGCCGGCCGCCCCCACCCCCGCACCCCCGCCGAGGGAAGCGACAACTGAACGCAGTTGGGGAGAAGCCGGAGCGAGCGGACACGGCCCAGCTGCTGCTAGCGAATTGAGACACTGACAATTACAGCACAGGCGATGCGAGAGACGCGTTGTTGTGTCCCCCACAGAACAAACAAATATCCCCTGTTTGTGTGTGGGTTTTTTTTTTAAATATATATAGGACTGTTGGGGAAAGTAAGCGCTGTTGGCGAGCACCTATTAAGGCCAACGCAACGCACGCGGGTGCGTTGTGGCCTCAGCACTACAAGTACACCGTAGTCACCCTTTGATGTTTACACACGACTATGTCCACATTTAAGTCGACCTGGGGAGGCCCAGGATTGGTTCAAATATGAGAATGGAACTCGGGCCGTTGGGTTTGTGAGCGCAGTTGCGCGAACTACAATGGCCGTTCTCCAGGCTAGGTGCACCTTGAGGCCATGTGATGTGTCAAAAATCTCGCCGGTAGGAGGTCACGGGACAGACCTAGGTGTCCATGGGCTGACTGACCCGAATGGAAGACCTTTGCTTCCCACTGTGCCAATACAAATATCCCCCCCCCCCCCCCGTATAGCCTTAGCCGACTGTGGGGGCGAGTGATGTGAGCGAGCACACACACATGCACATACGCACACGAGCTATTTTAATTGTTGTACAGCATTCTGTATAGCAGAGCAGAATGAGAAAGGTTTTGCAAGTGAAGTCTGAACTGTAGTCTGTTGTTTTATGATTGTAAATCTTTTGGAGGAATGTTTGATTTATTCCGAGTGAATTGTATTTTTTTTTCTACTACATTTTAAGCCAAAATATCCGCAAACGTGATTCGTGGTGGTGATCATCGAAAGTTTGCTCTGCCTGGGTTTGTCTGGTGGGGTTTTTCTGGTGGGTCTAAATATTCAGCTCGGTCCATTGGCGCGCTAAACAGCTAATGTGGTAATTCTATTCCCTCTCCAAAATAAAAAAAAACCTACAACTAAAAAAACCATTGGCACTACAATATTGAGCAGATTTCGAGCACACGATTAAAATCGGAGCTGCAGTGCCAGGGACTTTGGAATGGAATAAACGATTCCATAAGCATTTATTTGTTCAAACAGCCAAACTCTCTCTCTCTCGATCGGTTTTCAACCCCTTTGGTGGTCATCAGCAGGAAATATATTTTCAACAGAATGCTGCAAATGTTGCATGCAGGAGTGGTCCTTTAAAAACCATACAGCCCGCCCATTAGGGCAAGCACTACGTACTCATACACCTCATGAATGTTGCTTTTACAGAGTATTGTCGGTAACGACACACATATATATAACTAATCTAACAAAAATGAATCTCTGCATAAATTCGCTTTCTCACATCCATCAACCAAAGGAGCCTTCTGTGACCCAGCATTTCATAACGGCGCCTGCTTCAAATGGGCAAACTCTGGACCGAGAATTTCGGTGTTCTCCGAATGTCGTGGGATTTGGCGAGTGGCGGTGGCGTGAGATGAGCGGGCGGTGCAGTGCGGGGCGTGCGTGCTGGTATTGCCCTGCACGCCACATGGCTCGCTACAGTGCCGATCATCTGGGCTGCTTTGAAGCGAGCCGGGAACTCCGGACCCTTGTTAGAGGGACAGCTTGCGGAGGGATGGGTATGGGGCTGTGGTTTCAAGCGTATGCTCCGTCGCCACTGGCTTGTCTGTCATGTGACGACGATGGGTCACTTCAAAGCGACTGTATTACTGGTGAAGCATTCGCGGTTTTTAAACGTTTTGTGGTGGCGCCGTCATTTCTCCCGTTAGTGGTTGGATCTGCCCACACTCGCTCTTCGTCCTCCCGTTAGTGGTTGGGTCTGCCCACACTCGCTCTTCGTCCTCCCGTTAGTGGTTGGGTCTGCCCACACTCGCTCTTCGTCCTCCCGTTAGTGGTTGGGTCTGCCCACACTCGCTCTTCATTCTCCCCGTTAGTGGTTGGGTCTGCCCACACTCGCTCTTCGTCCTCCCCGTTAGTGGTTGGGTCTGCCCACACTCGCTCTTCATTCTCCCCGTTAGTGGTTGGGTCTGCCCACACTCGCTCTTCGGTCTCCCGTTAGTGGTTGGGTCTGCCCACACTCGCTCTTCGTCCTCCCGTTAGTGGTTGGGTCTGCCCACACTCGCTCTTCGTCCTCCCGTTAGTGGCTGGGTCTGCCCACACTCGCTCTTCGTCCTCCCGTTAGTGGCTGGGTCTGCTCACACTCGCTCTTCGTCCTCCCGTTCGTGGTTGGGTCTGCCCACACTCGCTCTTCGTCCACCCGTTAGTGGTTGGGTCTGCCCACACTCGCTCTTCGTCCTCCCGTTAGTGGTTGGGTCTGCCCACACTCGCTCTTCATTCTCCCGTTAGTGGTTGGGTCTGCCCACACTCGCTCTTCGTCCTCCCGTTAGTGGCTGGGTCTGCCCACACTCGCTCTTCGTCCTCCCCGTTAGTGGTTGGGTCTGCCCACACTCGCTCTTCCGTACTCCTCCGTCCAGCCCTCCCCATGCTTTGTTTTCGGTTTCATACTGAGCTGCAGTGGTTTGCGAAAATACCACCAGCTGTTTGCAAGCAGAGAGCTTATACATATTATTATTTTATTTCATAATCTCCGTGTTTTTCTATAGGGCGAGTATCTCCTGGCAAATGTGCTTCGAAATTGGATACATTCTTGGTTGCAGCTGGAATACAATGTTCTCGTAGGGAATTACCCCAAGCGTGCTATTTTCTATACTGTGCGCGTTAAAGATCCAATGGCATTTTCGCAAAATTAGAGACGACCAACGATTACCAGAATATCAATTAAAGCGCCGAATCTGTACCCACAGTTGAAATTGTCAAAAAAATAAATATGGGTTTTAAGGATTGCCCTGTAACGTCCTTATCTCAGAACAGTTGTCTAACTCCTCTTGCTGGCCTTGATGACATCTTGATATTCATAATAAAGCTTTTGGGTTAGATCGCGTTATTTATAAATATGTCATAACCCTCC